TGCGTGCGTCTATTAACCGTGCCAGGATTAAAGCTTCGATCTGTATTCTACTGTTCGCTGTGCGTGGGTCCATTACCCTTGCAAGGACTAAGGCCTTGATATGTATTCTACTGTGCGCTGTGCGTGCGTCTATTAACCGTGCCAGGATTTAAGCTTCGATCTGTATTCTACTGTTCGCTGTGCGCGCGTCTATTAACCGTGCCAGGATTAAGGCCTCGATCTGTATTCTACTGTGCGCTGTGCGTGGATCCATTACTCTTGCCAAGATTAAGGCCTTGGTCTGTATTCTACTGTACGCTGTGAGTGCGTCTATTAACCGTGCCAGGATTAAGGCCTTGATCTGTATTCTACTGTGCACTGTGCGCGCGTCTATTAACCGTGCCAGGATTAAGGCCTTGATCTGTATTCTACTGTACGCTGTGCGTGCGTCTATGAACCGTGCCAGGATTAAGGCCTTGATCTGTATTCTACTGTGCGTTTGGCGTGCGTCTATTAACCGTGCCAGGATAAAGGCCTTGATCTGTATTCTACTGTGCGTGCGTCTATTAACAGTGCCAGGACTAAGGCCTCGATCTGTATTCTACTGTTCGCTGTGCGAGCGTCTATTAACCGTGCCAGGATTAAGGTCTTGATCTTTATTCTACTGTGCGCTGTGCGTGTGTCTATTAACCGTGCCAGGATTAAGGCCTTGATCTGTATTCTACTGTACGCTGGGCGTGCGTCTATTAACCGTGCCAGGATTAAGGCCTTGATCTGTATTCTACTGTACGCTGGGCGTGCGTCTATTAACCGTGCCAGGATTAAGGTCTTGATCTGTATTCTACTGTGCTCTGTGCGAGCGTCTATTAACCGTGCCAGGATTAAGGCCTTGATCTGTATTCTACTGTACGCTGGGCGTGCGTCTATTAACTGTGCCAGGACAAAGGCCTTGATCTGTATTCTACTGTGTGCGCGTCCATTAACCATGCCAGGATTAAGGCCTCGATCTGTATTCTACTGTGCGCTGTGCGTGCGCCTATTAACCGTGCCAGGATTAAGGTCTTGATCTGTATTCTACTGTGCGCTGTGCGTGCGTATATTAGCCTTGCCAGGATTAGGCCTTGATCTGTATTCTACTGTGCGCTGTGCGTGCGTCTATTAACCGTGCCAGGATTAAAGCTTCGATCTGTATTCTACTGTGCGCTGTGCGTGGATCCATTACTCTTGCCAAGATTGAGGCCTTGGTCTGTATTCTACTGTACGCTGTGAGTGCGTCCATTAACCGTGCCAGGATTAAGGCCTCGATCTGTATTCTACTGTACGCTGTGAGTGCGTCTATTAACCGTGCCAGGATTAAGGCCTTGGTCTGTATTCTACTGAACGCTGGGCGTGCGTCTATTAACCGTGCCAGGATTAAGGCCTTGATTTCTATTCTACTGTGCGGGCATATTTTAACCGTGCCAGGATTAAGGCCTTGTTCTGTATTCTACTGTCCGCTGTGCTTGCGTCCATTACCCTTGCCATGATTAAGGCCTCGAGGGTAATGTACGCTGTGCGTGCGTCTATTAACTGTGCCAGGATTAAGGCCTTGATCTGTATTCTACTGTGCGCTGTGCACGCGTCTATTAACCGTGCCAGGATTAAGGCCTTGATCTGTATTCTACTGTGCGCTGTGCGTGCGTCTATTAACCGTGCCAGGATAAAGGCCTTGATCTGTATTCTACTGTGCGTGCGTCTATTAACCGTGCCAGGATTAAGGCCTCGATCTGTATTCTACTGTTCGCTGTGTGCGCGTCTATTAACCGTGCCAGGATTAAGGTCTTGATCTGTATTCTACTGTGCGCTGTGTGTGCGTCTATTAGCCTTGTCAGGATTAAAGCTTCGATCTGTATTCTACTGTTCGCTGTGCGTGGGTCCATTACCCTTGCAAGGACTAAGGCCTTGATCTGTATTCTACTGTGCGCTGTGCGTGGGTCTATTAACCGTGCCAGGATTAAAGCTTTGATCTGTATTCTACTGTTCGCTGTGCGTGCGTCTATGAACCGTGCCAGGATTAAGGCCTCGATCTGTATTCTACTGTGCGCTGTGCGTGGATCCATTACTCTTGCCAAGATTGAGGCCTTGGTCTGTATTCTACTGTACGCTGTGAGTGCGTCCATTAACCGTGCCTGGATTAAGGCCTCGATCTGTATTCTACTGTACACTGTGTGTGCGTCTATTAACCGTGCCAGGATTAAGGCCTCGATCTGTATTCTACTGTACGCTGTGTGTGCGTCTATTAACCGTGCAAGGATTAAGGCCTTGGTCTGTATTCTACTGTACGCTGGGCGTGCGTCTATTAACCGTGCCAGGATTAAGGCCTTGATCTGTATTCTACTGTGCGCTGTTCGCGCGTCTATTAACCGTGCCAGGATAAAGGTCTTGATCTGTATTCTACTGTGCGTGCGTCTATTAACCGTGCCAGGATTAAGGCCTCGATCTGTATTCTACTGTGCGCTGTGAGTGGATCCATTACTCTTGCCAAGATTAAGGCCTTGGTCTGTATTCTACTGTACGCTGTGAGTGCGTCCATTAACCGTGCCAGGATTAAGGCCTTGATCTGTATTCTACTGTACGCTGGGCGTGCGTCTATTAACCGTGCCAGGATTAAGGCCTTGATCTGTATTCTACTGTGCGCTGTGCGCGCGTCTATTAACCGTGCCAGGATAAAGGCCTCGATCTGTATTCTACTGTGCGCTGTGCGTGGATCCATTACTCTTGCCAAGATTAAGGCCTTGGTCTGTATTCTACTGTACGCTGTGAGTGCGTCTATTAACCGTGCCAGGATTAAGGCCTCGATCTGTATTCTACTGTGCGCTGTGCGCGCGTCTATTAACCGTGCCAGGATTAAGGCCACGATCTGTATTCTACTGTGCGCTGTGCGCGCGTCTATTAACCGTGCCAGGATAAAGGCCTTGATCTGTATTCTACTGTGCGTGCGTCTATTAACCGTGCCAGGATTAAGGCCTCGATCTGTATTCTACTGTTCGCTGTGCGCGCGTCTATTAACCGTGCCAGGATTAAGGCCTCGATCTGTATTCTACTGTGCGCTGTGCGTGGATCAATTACTCATGCCAAGATTAAGGCCTTGGTCTGTATTCTACTGTACGCTGTGAGTGCGTCCATTAACCGTGCCAGGATTAAGGCCTTGGTCTGTACTCTACTGTACGCTGTGAGTGCGTCTATTAACCGTGCCAGGATTAAGGCCTTGATCTGTATTCTACTGTGCGGGCATATTTTAACCGTGCCAAAATTAAGGCCTTGTTCTGTATTCTACTGTGCGCTGTGCGCGCGTCTATTAACCGTGCCAGGATAAAGGCCTTGATCTGTATTCTACTGTGCGTGCGTCTATTAACCGTGCCAGGATTAAGGCCTTGATCTGTATTCTACTGTGCGCTGTGCGTGCGTCTATGAACCGTGCCAGGATTAAGGCCTCGATCTGTATTCTACTGTGCGCTGTGCGTGGATCCATTACTCTTGCCAAGATGCAGGCCTTGATCTGTATTCTACTGTACGCTGTGAGTGCGTCCATTAACCGTGCCAGGATTAAGGCCTTGGTCTGTACTCTACTGTACGCTGTGTGTGCGTCTATTAACCGTGCCAGGATTAAGGCCTTGATCTGTATTCTACTGTGCGGGCATATTTCAACCGTGCCAAAATTAAGGCCTTGTTCTGTATTCTACTGTCCGCTGTGCTTGCGTCCATTACCCTTGCCATGATTAAGGCCTCGATCTGTATTCTACTGTGCACTGTGCGTGGATCCATTACTCTTGCCAAGATTAAGGCCGTGATATGTATTCCACTGTGCGCGCGTACATTACCCTTGCCAGGATTAAGGCCTTGATCTGTATTCTACTGTGCGGGCATATTTTAACCGTGCCAAAATTAAGGCCTTGTTCTGTATTCTACTGTGCGCTGTGCGCGCGTCTATTAACCGTGCCAGGATAAAGGCCTTGATCTGTATTCTACTGTGCGTGCGTCTATTAACCGTGCCAGGATTAAGGCCTCGATCTTTATTCTACTGTGCGCTGTGCGCGCGTCTATAAACCGTGCCAGGATTAAGGCCTTGATCTGTATTCTACTGTGCGCTGTGCGTGCGTCTATGAACCTTGCCAGGATTAAGGCCTCGATCTGTATTCTACTGTGCGCTGTGCGTGGATCCATTACTCTTGCCAAGATGCAGGCCTTGATCTGTATTCTACTGTACGCTGTGAGTGCGTCCATTAACCGTGCCAGGATTAAGGCCTTGGTCTGTACTCTACTGTACGCTGTGTGTGCGTCTATTAACCGTGCCAGGATTAAGGCCTTGATCTGTATTCTACTGTGCGGGCATATTTTAACCGTGCCAAAATTAAGGCCTTGTTCTGTATTCTACTGTCCGCTGTGCTTGCGTCCATTACCCTTGCCATGATTAAGGCCTCGATCTGTATTCTACTGTGCACTGTGCGTGGATCCATTACTCTTGCCAAGATTAAGGCCGTGATATGTATTCCACTGTGCGCGCGTACATTACCCTTGCCAGGATTAAGGTTTGATCTGTATTCTACTGTGCGTGCGTCTATTAACCTTGCCAGGATTAAGGCCATGATCTGTATTCTACTGTGCGCTGTGCGTGGATCCATTACTCTTGCCAAGATTAAGGCCGTGATATGTATTCCACTGTGCGCGCGTACATTACCCTTGCCAGGATTAAGGTTTGATCTGTATTCTACTGTGCGTGCGTCTATTAACCTTGCCAGGATTAAGGCCATGATCTGTATTCTACTGTGCGTGCGTCTATTAACCGTACCAGGACTAAGGCCCTGATCTGTATTCTGCTGTTCACAATGTATGGTGATTACCTGCCAAGCTTCTTATCCACAGAATATGTTTACCAAATTGCAAGTCACTCCTCTAACGATTCACTGTCAAGCTATCAAGATATTTACTCATAATTTCCATCTATCACGCTTCATTCACTGTATCTGGTGTTTTTGCTTCAGCGGAGGCATCGCACTTACCTACGTCACAATAAAACACTCGGTGGCCTTAGTGGTTTTGACGTATGGGCTGATGTTTGGGCTCGGCGTCGGGATGTCATACGTTGTGCCCATGAGCTGTGCAATGAAGGTAATGATAAAAGTCAATACTCTCATTGATGATCGTTGTATGAAGAGAATCCGATTAAGTTGATATCATTGTAATACTATGATCTCACCGTTGTAGAGTGCATCTGCAGAAGGGGCAAACCATGCAGAAGTTAGTTATTTATCGAGTCATGACCAGAGGATCAAGTGATTGACATCATGAGCTCTGATCTACGCAGTTGGGATACAATGACATGTATCAACCGAGTCACTGAGCCTGACCGTACCTCTTCTGTACTGGAATCCAAGGCGCCATAAAAACCAGAACAGAGATACATAGCTGGATCCAGTAATACAATCAAGGAAGGATTTCCTCGTGTGTTTTACAGGCGACCAATTGACTTGCCTTTGCATGTGTTTGTGGCGGATGCCACCGATAGGGCAGGATAGGCTCACTTTGTCGCGAACACCTGGTATTATCATGATCTGATAGTTGTTCTAAAATATATGTTCATGGTATAGTCGAAATCGAATAATCGACTCGATAATCGATATTTCTTACGCTTATGGAATTTGTTTTGATGCTATCGTATATCGATACTGACAGCTACATGACAATGGTTGTTGGCATTTTAATCTTTTGAATATATATCAATATAGGCCAAAGTGCCGCGAAATTATTTGTGTTTTATTTACAGTGGATTCCCGACAGAAAAGGGCTTGCCTGTGGATTAACCATGGCAGGATTCGGGGGTGGTGCCTTCACCTTTGACTACGTTCAAACATGGTACATCAACCCAGACAACGATCCACCTTTGCATCATGTCGACGACAAGTAGTAAGTAGTTTAAGCAGACACGTTGTGATATCCCTGGAACAGTGTTCATGGGGGTGTTAAACTCAACTGACTCTAAATACATTGGCTGCTTTGTGGTCGTTGTTACTCAAATATGCCCCGTCTTAAGATATGTAAACATGTTCCTCGACAGACAGTAACTCGAAATTCATGTTAAAACAGTGTAAGGCACGAGTCTTGGCTGAATGGCTGATAATGGTTAATCTCGACAGAAAGTAACAGTGAGTGAGTGAGTTGGATATAACGCCGCTTTTAACAGTATTCCAGTTATATCGCGGCGTGTCAGCTTCATGTGGGAGGAAAGCCCGAAGTGATGCAGGTCTCAGACGTTTACCACTTGGGTGAAACCCACGAGCACGGGTATGGTGCTGACAAACCAAGAAACATAATCGGGGCGAACCGAGATTCGAACCCACAATGATAGGTTTCTGGCGTGCCAAAGGGACGCACCTCTGCACAGCGAATCGCGGCGCCTTAGACGACTGGGCCACCCGTGCCCCAAACTGTGAAAGAGAATTTAAATGTGATGTTAGAGAATATTTGAGTCGATTTTATACACCAGCCAACTAATACCCCATGCAACTGATTTCCCCAAAATACCGAGAAACGCGATCTATTTATGCCCAGTGCCGTAGATATCGTAGATAGTGTATTTCAGCGATAGGTTTTGATCTTGTCTATTGCAGCTACTTCCATGAAGAGAAAATTCTGTCTCGAGTCCCTCCCGTGTTCTGTGTTTTGGCTGGTTGCTACGCAGCTCTACAAGTGATTGGGATCCTGTTACTAAGGGACCCGCCCGAGGTTAGAATATAGTTCAGCGGTAACACACGGAGCTTCACCGATGTAGGGAATTGCCACTGGGTCCATCACAATCGGAGGCTCCAATTATATAGGCTATCCTACAGTCCCATGCGTTGTACACACACACACACACACACACACACACACACACACACACACACACACATATATATATATATATATATATATATCTATCTCACATGCGAGGTCGTTGTCACATAGGATATATATATACTGATGTACATTTAAAACGGACCCGTGAAGATTCCGGGGTAGAATAGGTCTTCACCAACACATGCTTGCCGTAAAAGGTGACTATGCTTGTCGTAAGAGGCGACTGACGGGATCGGGTGGACAGGCTCGCTGACTTGGTTGATGCATGTCATAGATCCAAATTACGGATGATGCTCATGAAATAAAAAATCACTGGATTGTCTGGTCCAGACTCGATTATTTACAGACCGCCGTCACATAGCTGGAATATTGCTGAGTGCGGCGTTAAACAACAAACCAACCAACTAACATTCAAAAAGTCAACGCAAGGGAATATTCAGTCTCCAGCAAAGACATTCCATTGTGCGCAAATGGCAAAATACCGATGAAAGAGCCACTAAAAATCAACGAGGTTACATTGCGTTCGCGAATTGGGTACATCCGTCACTCACATAATTTGCGAACAAAACAGGTGTTTCTTTGTTGCAGAACGCCGCCCCCAGCGAAATGCCAGTTTTTACTGAAGTTAACACTTAGAATGGGATCCACACCCGTCGTAACAATGCATGCGACAAACGAATTTGTGTGTTTTAATTAACAACTACATCTCTTCTCTAGAGTTAAAAAATCTTTTGGGGGTTGGCAGATGAGGCTCGTGGACGAGGAAGATGAAGAGGAAGAGTCATCACTCACAGACGGAGGGCAGCTCACGTCCATCACCAGGTACAGTTGCATATGTAGGTCATTCTGCAGAGTTCAACCATCTTGGGTTTTGTTATTTTGTGTTGCGTGTATGCCTCCTCCTTATGGAATGGTCGTGCAGTGCTTCAAAGTATCAACACTGTTGGTTGTTGTTTAACGCCGCACTCGGCAATATTCCAGCTATATGACGGCGGTCTGTAAATAATCGAGTCTGGACCACACAATCCAGTGATTAATACCATGAGCATCGATCCACGCAATTGGGATCGATGACATGCATCAACCAAGGCAGCGAGCCTGACCACCCGATCCCGTTAATCGCCTTTTACGACAAGCATAGTCACCTTTTACGGCAAGTATGGGTTGCTGAAGACCTATTCTACCCCTGAATCTTCAGGGGTCGTATCAACAATGGTATAGCAAGGTTCATCAACATTTTCGTTGTGGCAGTAAATTCAGGGGTATTGGGGTCTTGCTCAATGTCTGGTCAAGATGATCAACAGAATGTCGCCATGCATGTTTTCGAGTGTGACGTTAAACAGCAAACCAGGAAACACACACATATACGATGCAAGGGCCAGGGTCTTGATTTCCCAGACGCTGTCAAGAACAATAACATGGAGAAGTGACACGGAATTGATGATCACATTGTCAGGTCACATTGTTTGACATGCAACTATTTGAGTGACATTTCGCACAAACCTTCATATGTCCTACATGTAGACGTTTTGTTCTTATGACAAAAGATGCCATGACTACGCGAACACAAAATGCATTCGTGTGCCATGCATTTTTTAAACCCAATAAATTTTACAGTCAATAAGTGTAGTGTTACCACAATCGAGCTATTAGCAGTAAATGTGTGAAATCTATTCCCGTACGGAGTTCGACGACGTTAGGCTCGTCTGACAGTATTGCTGAGGGTCATTTACTAGTATTTGTCCTGTGACCCTATCTTTAACAATGATTTAATTGTCTGAATGGTCTCACGTATGTGTACTTTTTTAACATTAAACTGAAAATATACACTTACAAAACATTTATTATTTTAAAATCGGTCCATTGAATATTTTGGTGAAAATGTCTATTTCATATTGATCAGGACATTTCATTCAATAAACGTTTTCTGCAAAAATGTATTGGAAAGTGAATTTTAGACAATCTTCAAAATATGCTACTTTTTTTAAGTGATTTCAAAACCCAAACGAGCATGGGAACCTATTTTCTTAATTTGAATTTTCAAATCGCCATTCTCGAAAATACTTTTGCTGTCAAAATTTCAATTAATTGCCATATTTAATGGAATACATCTATGCCGTTAATCACCTGTTTTTAAAGAATGCAATTATTCAACAGATGATAATTAATCACTTCTTATCAACTAATTGTCTTCTCATGAATAATATAGATAACCTAGGTGTTGTTTTTAATACGAAACAAAATAAAATTACTTTTTCAGGAAAAAATTATATATACTCCTTATACAAATATACTAAACAAAATATTGATCAAATGTATTTCCTTGTGAAATCGAGAAATACTACACTGTATAGTTTCAATTCAATTGTTAAAACCGCTCGTCACACACCATTTTAGATGTAAACACTGATGAGAAACGCCTATGGTTTTGCACTTCGTCACATATGTAGATTGATATAATTTTACAAAATGCGAAAATATAGACTAATGCATTGACACACATGCGATCCAGGAGATATAACAGCGGAACTGTGCGCTTTATTAAAACTGTAACATTGAGCAATGTCTTGCCGGACGAATACAAAGGGAGATCACTCTCAACTTGAGTATGAACTGAGATTACCTGCCCCTGGGCTGTCAATAAGGTCACGGTCATAACTATACTCTGCCAACACCTTCCGTCTTCATCCTTCCAAAATTGTCGAAGAGGTATGTTGTTTGAACTTGTTTTACACTTCGTCAGCACGGACTCGGAAAGAAATATATTGTAAGTTATCGGCTCCATACTTATGTGGATTGCAGTCGCGATTAAGGACATTTCTGACGTTAAATCTTTGATGCGTTCTTCGTGTTTTGTGAAAGTGTAAATGTGAATCACACAGTTTAAAAAAAATGGAACGTAATGTCAGTTTTTGAACGTAAAACAGACTGTGTTTGGCAAAATATCTATGGCAAAGTATGCCGTCATCTTGGATGAAGATAAAATAAACTTACGACAGGTATTGGTGTATCTTAGATTTACGACAAACTTAAGAGTGAGTGAGTGAGTTAGGTTTAACGCTTTTTTAAAAAGTATTTTGTTATATCGCGGCGTGTCAGCTTAATGTGAGAGGAAAGCCCGAAGTGATGCAGGTCTCAGACGTTTACCACATCGGTGAAACCCACGAGCACGGGTATGCTGCTGACAAACCTAGAAACACAAACTTAAGACATCTTAGCGCTACGGTACGAGTAGTTTCGAAAATAGGGTACGATAGCATACGATTACCTTACGATAAGTCGCTATATGGCTGAGATAATGCCGATGCGACGTTAAATTTTAAATCACTCCTTACGATAACTTTACGATATTCGGGCCCTTGGCGCTGATAAATCACGCGATCATGTTCTTATTGCAGCCAGGGCAGAGATGAGCAGGAACAATACGTGTCATGGAAACAGAGCTGGAAGACCAAGGATTTCTGGCTGCTGTGGTTCTCCCTGTTCTTTAACAGTCAGGGTCTTTTGTTCTTTTCAACTTTCTGGAAGGTAAGTAAAGTTGTCGAGAAATAAATTAGTCACAATACATATATAGAGGATATCATATAAGTGTTCATTCCATACAATGTTTACGAGACGAGTGTCGTAAGAACCACAATTTGTCGAATGACGTCAACAATCTTCAGCTATGTCGTGGCTTCTAGTGTGACGTCATTCCGACCTTACGTCACAATAATATTCGAATGACGTCAACAATGCCGCCCGGATGACGGAATCAATACACTGTTGTCTCGTGACGTGAGTGAGTGAGTTTAAGAATTGACCCTTCACTTTGTGTGAGTTCATTGGAGTATGAACCTTCATAGAGTGAGGGCCAAACTGTATGAACGTCGGAGCTTGCGAGGGGCTGAAGTGAAGGTCAATTCTTATAATTTTTTATCACAATTTCTTACCTCAACGGATGTAGGCCAAGATCTAAACCCAATTTTATTTAGTAGATCTACGTGTGACTTCATAATTCCACTGACAGCCAAACAACAACCAGCTATATCGCGGAATAAAATAGTTCCCCAAAATGAGAGGTGACATGAGCGTATGGATGCACAACTTGCTCTTCAGAAACATCTTACGCAACACATGTGTTCAAATAATATCACCATTAGATGAGAAAGGCCTGTAAAGAACTACCTCAGTAAGTCAGTCACATTGACAGCGCGTCGTAATACATTTACATCAAGTACAAGACGTCAAAATGGCCGACACGATAAACGTGACGGGAGGATTTCCGAAGTTGTTAATGAACCTGTGGCGGTTACATGTGTTAGTCATCATTGATCAACCGACCGATTATTGAAAGGTGATGAAAAATGCGTCAAACAGACACCAAGGTAAATTCGTAGATTGCTGGAGACGGTCACTGTCAGCTTAGACACAGATCGAGTCGATACTGACGATAGTTTGGATGTGCATTGTTTTCTTTGTTCATTAGGATGGGCCGTAGCGAGGATATTCGTGAATAATCATGCAGTCAAGCTTTCTTACGTTTCCCAAAGTATACTGAAATACTGAGACCAAGATTAAAGGTTCTAAATCATCAGAAAAAATGCTTATGTTTTTTTTCGTGCTAGGGAATTCCCAGGGGTTTCCCCAGGAATGTGGAAGTAGTCCGTCAGTGTTTACGTCATTTCAAGAACACGGTCTCGTGAAAAACGCATGAACGTCAAATTGTGTCGTTCATACACATATGAACGTCAATTTCGCGGTCATATGACCGACCTCTCGTCCAATGGAAAAGCCGTATATCGCGTAAACGTCAAATTAAAAAATTATTTGTTGTTTAACGCCGCACTCTGCAATATTCCAGCTATATGACGGCTGTCTGTAAATAATCGAGTCTGGACCAGACAATCCAGTGATTGTTACCGTGATCATCGATCCACGCAAATTGAAAATGATCTTCAGACATTACTGTAATAAAGGCCAAAAATACAACCCAAATAACATAAAATATCTTAATATACATGTCTCTAGACATGACATTTGATACCCATATTTTAACTGTTATTATTTTTAGCGCTTTCATATTTTGAAATGATTATTTCAGGCATACGGACAGACTTTCATCAATGATGATCAGTTCTTGACCGTTGTTGGAAGCATTGCTTCCTTATTCAATGCAGGAGGCAGACTCTTCTGGGGATATTTGGGCGACAAATTCTCCTTTAAGGTATACGATACTGACAATGAAACGTCTGAATTGCGAGAAGTCCATTTCCATGCATTGGTGAACAGTGATCAGCCAGAAATTGTAGATCTTATTTTGCAACATATAAGCTTACATGCTAATGTTCTCGTGTTATAGGGGCGGTCGGGTAGCCTAGTGGTTAAAGCGTTCGCTCGTCACGCCGAAGACCCGGTTCGATTCCCGACATGGGTACAATGTGTGAAGCCCATTTCTGGTGTCCCCCGCCGTGATATTGCTGGAATAATGCTAACAGCGGCGTAAAACCATACTCACTCACTCAATCCCGTGTTATAGGTGAACAGGTGACTTTCCCTTGCATGTATTTGTGACAGGTGCCACCGTTGGGGGAAGGTTACACTCACCTTTTGGCGAATACTTGGTATCATCACTATTTGAAAGTGCTTCATTAACACATGCTCATGATACATTCGTCACCACTCGCTTTTTTCCGTAACCTACAAGAAGACTCGTCCCCCTATTGATGAACCGCCTCCGTGGTCTTGTGGTAGAGCGTCCGCCCGGAGAGCGGAAGGTCCAGGGTTCGATCCCGGGCCGCGTCATACAAAAAGACGTTAAAAGATTGTACTGGTTGTTACCCTGTCTGGCGCTCGACATTAAGGGGCTAAAACAAGGACTGGTCTGCTCGGAGTCAGTATACTGTGTCTGAGTGGGGTATTCATGTTAAACTGCGGCATGGTATCTCAGTGAGCTAGCACTATAAATCGGCATCAGTCCGGACTAGTACAAGCAGCCACACACACACATACACGTGCATGCACGTCGCTATATAAGTGCAATAATCTTGGACGCGACGTTAAACCCAATTTCACCTCACCTCACCCTATTGATGAATGTTATATGCGAAAATACGACAAAGCAATCGGAATGCGCGTATGAATTCAAGTACTTCGGTAAAAGAATCCCTCAGGAATATTATATTTTACACATGTCTTGCATCTATATATAAACTTAGATAAAGTTAAGTGTGTTCAACCATACTGTATAAATACCGTAAGTCCCGATGTGTTTAAATAGCATCTGGAATATATATGGAAATATAAGTGAATCATTACGCAACGAGTTGACAATTCTTTTAACTATGCCCGTTTGCGCAACCCAGTCGTAAAAAACGGCCACGAGAGGGGCACGAGTCGCTATTCGGCTTGTCCCGGATTAACACGAGTTGGTCACGAATGGCACATGATATAGTCGGAATCGTACAATCTTTCTTTTGGCAGATATTTAGCAGATGAATGTGGAAAGGGTTTGTCGGGTTTTTTTTAACAATGGTGCATGGTTGATCTTTGTTGTAGGTTGCAATGATGGCTTTGTGTGCAGTATGCACAGTACTGATGGCCACCTATAAATTGACTGAACTGGCAGGAAAATCTTTATTCTTCATCTACGTGTGTCTAACGTTTGGAACTTTCGGTGGAAACTATTCACTGTTTCCATTGGCTACGGCGCAGACATTTGGACAACGCTACTTTATACAGAACTACGGACTGCTGTTCACTTCTCAGGTTTGTACAACAAATTCCGTTGACATAGCATGAGATCATATAGCATATATTACTGGAGCATAGGGGGCGGTCGGGTAGCCTAGTGGTTAAAGCGTTCGCTCGTCACGCTGAAGACCCGGTTCGATTCCCGACATGGGTACAATGTGTGAAGCCCATTTCTGCCGTGATATTGCTGGAATTTTGCTAAAAGCGGCGTAAAATCATACTCACTCACTCACTACTGGAGCATATCCGACCCGAAATGAGATCTGAGTTGGGTTTAACGACACTTTAAACACTCTTCCAGTCACGGCTCGTGTCAGCTCGATGTGGCAAGAAAGTCGTAAGTGATGCAGGTCTCAGACGTTCACCACTTTTGTGAAATCCACGAGCACGGGTATACTTCTGACAAACCAAGAACACAATCGGGGCGAACTGGGATTCAAACCCTCCAACATAGGTGTCTGTCACGCCTCAGGGATGTAATTCTGCATGGCGAATTGCGGTGCCTTAGACGACTGAGCCACCCGTGCCTGCAAGGGATATTGGAGCTTAAACTGATAAAAAGTGACCTGTACCATTTACATTTTGAAATGCACCAGATATGTTCTTTTTTTCGCAGTACTATCAAATTTGACTTTGACTTTGTTTTCCACCTTGGGACAATCTGAATATCACTACCACAGGCGGAGATATGGCCTCAGACAAGTATTCTACAAGAGACAAATACGACTTATTTGGTCTATTCGTGATGTTTCAAGTGCATCGATCCTTTGGTCTCATCTTACGTTTCACACTATATCGTTGTCACTCATGGGTTTGGCATTCGGTCGTTACTGCATCTCGATGATGCCAACAATTACCTTTTAATTTCGTACCAATTGACACCACATTCATGCTCCTAATATATTCTTATAGCTTTTGTATATGTATACTCATATCGGCTATGTATTTCCTTTTTGAGGAGTAAATACTGAAGTCTGTTTAGACTAAATATCCCTCTATGATAACCTCTGCTCGAAATCGTTAGGGGTATTTTAAAAGAATGTACTGGAAACAGTATGATAGGTTAGTATACAAATGCAGTTTTAGAAGACATTGGTATACGGCAGCCGATAACCAATTGATGGTTCTAATGCCATTCATCGTGGCACATCAGACCCAGTTCTGGGTGATGGTCGTCGCCGTTTGACAGTCAAGAACATCCTATTGGGAAGGGCAAGGGGGTATCGTTGGCCATGACTAATTCTGTATCAGGGGCATCTGCAGGGGGTCCAAGAAGATGCCCGTATGGTGAGATCTTGCGTTGTCATCGTGGAACACAAAGACATTTTCATGACGCTGAGCATACGTCCAGTCAGATGATCACGTGACCCAATATATTTCCGCACCCTGTAGTTCTGCCTTCCCAGGTCTTCCCAGGTCTTCCCAGTGGTCCTGTCCGGGCAGTCGACACATCATTGTCACTGTTGTAATGACTGAATAAGAGTTTCATATACACGTGAAACGTCAATGCAAGATAATAACTAGGCTTGATTATTCGCCGAATCAGATTCCCCTTGGCGTAAAGGGCAAACTAGCTATGAAAAGTATATAAATGGACCACTTAAAATCAGTGATGACACCAGATGTTGCCAAAAGGATAGGATATTCACACAATTTGCATAAAAGAGTAAGTGCATTTTCAATTATGTATGCACGCGGAGTCACGTGTAATACATACCCTCATCCTTGTGTGCGTTTGAGTGTATCTGACAGTAGTTTCTAGGTTTCCAACACTGTATTCATAAAAAAACGTTAAGGGTCTGTAAACATGTCATGCATGCCACCATTTGCTGTCTCTATTGTTTTGTGTAATGACATCACTTACACTGTTCCCTACCCTTAGTCAGCAGCGTATGTTTAGCATGTGTCTTCTCATATTTTATTATAGGGTTATAAAAGCAGTTTCCACCACCTCCCCAACCCCCTCCCATAGCTAAACCTTATGGTCATACCTGATATGGTATGAAATGTAAATTTGTCTCACTTTATGCATCATACTCAAATTGGGAATTCCGAGGCCTTACTATCCTCCTCAGCTTGCTTGCATAGTTCCCCCTAAAGTTCAATAATCCACATCCAACTTGTATGCTACTTGTATCCTCATTTATCACATCATTTTGTACCGTTCTGTGTAGTCACTCGCTGTGCTCTGATGCTCAGAAATATAGCCAGCGTTTGTCCCCAATGCTTGGGCATGATCGATGCTCGATCATGTACACACTTGTGCCAAAGATTTGGCCGTCCAGCCTAGTATTTGCAAGTGGCCAAATCGTTTCCAATGCTTGGCATGATTGATGCTCAATCATGGGCACGCTTAGTCATACCTGAGAATTCCCCATATGCCAAACTTATAATTTGGATTTTATCATAATAAATGTTTGAAACTACTTTGTGTTTGGTTGTCATTATAAATGTATATTTAAACCCTTAAAGATCCGTTACATTTTGATTGTTGCTAGTTTTCTGTCCCATTTGTGTCCCATAGCATAGGAACATAGGAACTTGAGTTGATAATGGCTGATGCATCCATTTGACAGATTACAGACTTTGGTACAGCGGCTTCACTGGTGATGTCGGATCCCAGTCATGTTACACAAATGCCTTCTTCAATAAGAACACCCATTCCTTAATGAGATTACCATGTCTGTTCATCCCAATGAATAAGTGTTAGAATATCATAATTTTGTCAGAGCGAGTTATACTTTCAGTCACTTCTTCAACACATACAATTTTGTCTCGAAAAGGAGGAGTCGAACAATATCTTTTCAGAAAATAGTTTTTTAACAACCCCTCCACGTATCCATCTTCCCATGACTCTCAAATGCACTCGAAATCTTATAAGTTTGAACATTTGAAATATAGCGGAAGGGTTTTAAATAGTTTTCAGTAGTTTTGTTCTCTGCATTTTTTTATCAACAGACAGATATGTTGTATTTTGCAGGTCCTCATGTCCGTGATCACTGCATTCACTGCTCCCTACATCCAGAACGTCATTGTGTGGTATGGGTTCTTCCTCCTGTCAACAGGGTCTTCTTTTTTAAGTACGTATATTTTAATATTAAACTTGTATATAAATGACATGTCTCCTTTTGGAACCTCCCAGAAATGTTCCCTGTCGAATGGGTGTTCTCTCTTCAGAACGTATTTTTTAATATAAAACTTGTATATAAACGACACACCTCCTTTTGGAACATCTAAGAAGTGTTCCTTGTCAACTGGGTGTCCTTTCTTCAGTTCGTATGGTTTAATATAAATCTTGTTTAAAAACGACACGCCTCCTTTTGGAACATCCCAGAATATTTCTTGTCAACTGCATATTCTTTCTTTAGTACGTATGGTTTAATATAAATCTTGTATATAAACGACACGCCTCCTTTTGGAACATCCCAGAAATGGTCACATGGAGTATCATACATTTTCTGACAATTAAAAAACTAGATTTGGTTATTTGTGTTTGCATTTTATTGGTGTTGGGTGTTACCTGGAGTAACATTTCATCGGTTATGCACTTTCTTGTTCATTATATTTACTTGTTTGATGTTTTGACATCATGTTTATTTTTTACTACTGTCTGCAAGACGAATGCAGTTGTTATAATAGCAGCAACTACTCAGTTCTTGCCTACTAATGTTTTACTCCCTTTCCAGGTTTCATACTGGTGTTTGTTTTAAAACAAGAGCGACCGTTCATCTGAGAGACGAGATTTACAGCCATGTTCCCTCTGAAACCAATGCTAGTTGAACCAAGTATGCAAATGAACTTACTTTCGAAGAAGCGTCGACCGAAGAGTTACAACAAACCAGAGATATATAACTGAGTGCAGAGATTTCGGGCTCCAAGCCCACCCTATCTATCTGAACGTTGAGATAGATTCCCAAGCTCACCCTTTCTATCTGAACGTTGAGATAGATTCCCAAGCCCACCCTTTCTATCTGAACGTTGTTATAGATTCCCAAGCTCACCCTTTCTATCTGAACGTTGTTATAGATTCCCAAGCACACCCTTTCTATCTGAACGTTGAGATAGATTCCTATTTGCATGGCCTCACCTTTGGTTCATGAGAAACAATGTTTTATTAAGGAAAGTCAACATATATCTTATGTAAGTGCACTTGGCACTGTTTTTGTATAATGACTACTTGCAGTTTCGGAAACACATGCTCTCATTATAAAACTGATAACCCCATGGTTGTAGATCCGACTATAACAAAGCGATTAGTATTTGAATTGTGTAACTTCCGGTTTCAGAACTTACTTCCGTCCTGATTTAAAACCTTGATCTGAAATTCCTACAGATCCATCTCAGATTGAAAAAAAGTTATTGCCATTTTCTTTAGTTTTGTTTATGAAACTTCATGTTTAAGTAAACTGTCTCCGTGGAAGGTCCGGGGCTCGACCCCGGGCTGCGTCAAACCAAAAGACGTTAAAAGATGGTACTTGTTGTTACCCTGTCTGGCGCTCGGCATTAAGGTACTGAAACAAGGACTGGTCGGCTCGGAGTCAGTATACTGTGTCTGAGTGGGGTATTTATGTTACACTGCGGCATGATATCTCATTGTGCTAGCACTATAAATCGGCATCAGTCCGGACTAGTACAAACAGCCAGACACGCACGTGCATGCACGTCGCAATATAAGTGCAATAATCTTGGACGCGACGTTAAACCCCACTTCATGTTTCAGTAACCACTTCCTTATTTATTCAGAACTTTATGACGGAATTGGCATGCTTCTGACTTAGTTCATAACAAAGTGTTGTGTACTTCTGATTTTGATATTGTGTTTTGGGGTTTCGGGAAATAGGGGCTGTCTATATTAGTACTTCAAAGGAGAAAGTTTATGGCTGTATCGAAATTTCGGCTGTCCCGACAAACGCTTTTTAGAAGAAAGTTTTATCACTATCGCTAAATTCATAGCATTTACTTTTCTGACCTTAAGTATATCATTTTATGTTTCGGAAAACATATGAACCTTAAAACAAAAGAACCCATTTCTCAAGCACAGTCAGCAAGATTGTACAAATGTTGCTTGAAATGATAAGGTACAACGCTCAAAGTAATAGTAATTACTTTGTAACAACAACCAGAAAAAGTATGTTTACAACCATGGACTTTCAAAGATATATATAAAGCTACCAATGTACTTGTTCTATTACAAACCAGTTCTTCTGTTGAGGTGGGTGGTGCGGTAGTCTAGTGGTTAAAGTGTTCGCTCGTGACGCCGATAACCTTGGTTCGATTCCCCACATGTGTAACTTTTGTGAAGCCCATTTCTGATATTCAAGCCCACCGTGATATTGCTGAAATATTGCTAAAAGCGGCGAAAAAAAACTAACTCACTCTGTCGATGTAAAGACACGTCGTCTTAATGGGTGTATTTCCCATATCAAACTTCTTCTTTTTTTGTGAAATCCGTTTAAAATCAATTCACTGCCTTTACAGCCACAGAGGAACTGGTGTAAGCTGAACAAAAACCTTTGTAGCGTTATATTTGAATCTTCATTACTGTGGCACTACCATGCGACATTGATCAACATCTAATAACGGACGCTGTTTGGCCAATTGCCTCTGAGATATGTGATGTTTTATGCCGTTTTATGAATTAATAATGTACATGTAGCTCTATGATCATCCACTTAGTAAATGGAATCTGACGCATTATGAATGTAAATATTATTATGATTATGATTACGATGATTATTATTATAATATGATTATTATTTACAGATTAAAATAAAAAATGCAGTCTCATTAAATTCATTACATTATCTACCTTTCATATTTACATTTTGATGCAAAATCACACACTGACGGTTTCGAGTTGGAAGTGACTGGTCCTAAGCAGCAAACAGAAAGCCTTCCGTTTCAATTTTCAGGCCAGACGACTTCATCCACGCAAGGACTCTGCAGGATTGCTTATCTTCTCAACACACTGCACATAAACTCGATGCAGTGGTCGTTCAGATAGCCTCTCCTTGAAAAACTGAGTTTTGGCCGATACGTATAGTGCTGACCTTCCACGAGATTGTCAATAACTCCTCCTCCAAGTAAACTGACTGATCCTCCCTCTTCTACCTTGCCACGTTTCAGATTAAGAATGTTGCATATGTCAAGTCCAAAAGACATGACGATGTCATTAGAAGAGGACTCGACAAGGAGAAAATAACATACTTCTTCTTCTTATTATTATTAATGGATTCAGACAGTCTTCAATACAATATGGCCACCAAACGACGCGACAGTTGACATCAACAAACACGAAAATAATGTTCAGCGTCTAATGATGACCAATCACACTGAGACATGCATTACAAAAAACAATATGCAACATATGATGTTATTGCCAACTTGCTATCAATTCTATGGAAAACCAATGAAGATACGATTTTTAATTGAAACACTATAGGAAACTTTCGACCTGATGTAAAATCCAAGCTGGTCGTAACCTATTGAGATAAGACAGTGTGATCTTGAAAGTGTGGAGACAATGGATGCAAAGGTTGACAGTACTGCACCTCCTATATTCAGAGGAGGCGATTGCAAAAGATGTCTACCCTACAATAATAACATGATAAGTGTCCATGCAAAAAGATCATGGAGAAAGATCATGGAGATGTATTACTTATTATGGCGATCATCGCAGACATATTGCAATATGTTTTCTGGTAACTTTGTAGTTAACTTCATAGACAATGTATGGAAAGTTTGGAAGCGTTTCATTGCATGGTTTAAGATGAGCACGTCTAAAACTCAAATATTGTTTTGCTCCTTCATTGACCAAAATCACCATAACGCACTCAATGTATTATCAATTTAAGATGAGAGCAAACCTAACACGTCAATGAAACAATGGAAACCTTTATATTGTGTATTAGCGTTTTTACCATTCTATTTTGATACTATTCAAATAGCATGTTCGTTTGTTCCTCTTCCGCGTGTCTTTCATGATGACATGTTTCTGCTTTCGTCGCTGTCGGTCAATCAGATGTGTCACACAGATGTAACGGTCCTGCGCTGGAGAAGCGAGCCTTGGCTGTCCAGAACGAGGCTGGTCTTGAACACTGCCTGTCTGCTGATGCCGTACGACCATTCTGGTGATGGGAGACACAGGACATCCAAAGTGCCTCGCTTCTGTAGGTGACGTCCAGTCTGTAGCCTCTCTGGAGATCAGTTAATCGAACCATGTTTCCTGTCCTGTTTCAAAGTCGAGTGTGAAATGCTGGGTGTTTTTTTCATATGGTGGCTTATAAAGGATGGACAAGGTGGAAACTGCACGCATTTTTGGACATGATATGCGCTGCACGTGCCAAAAAAGTTAAACGAAACGACTGCGTTCCTGCGACGTGCTCAAAATGAATGCGTAAATAGTGAACAGTGTTTTTTCAATGCGCCTCTTTACGTTTGTTTACATTTCTTTTCACAAATTACTATTTTGTTCATTTCACAAACAAAAAACTTGACTTTCATTTGCGCGATTGAGTATTTTTTGGATAACCACAGGTCGTCAATGTAGAATGTATACCCGGCGGATGTGTATTTGTCAATACATGTATTATAATGTCAATATATTTTACGGATAATATTTTATTTTCCTTTCTCCAGCGAGTAATCCTAATACCCTGATTCATTATATACATATGAATGAAATACTGGAATTTATCAGTGACGATAGATCAAGTTATCAGTCACTAGTGACAGATATAAAAAAGTTATATCAGTCACTAGTGACTGATATAAACAAGGTGCCGGAACTACTTTCTCCTGAATCAAAACATTAAAGAGTTATCCATTTTAAACAGGAATGTTTAATTATGACAAACAAAAATGTCCACGGAACTTAATACTCGATATGAAATAATATATTTCGCATAACATATATTAACAGGGCTAGTTTTATTCACGAACTATATTCTTTGCGCAAAACCCTTTATACGGCGGTGGTAAAGGGGCGACAGGGAGAACTTAGTAATTTATCAGACACTGTTTTCGAAAAAATATATAAATTGCAAGTAATAAAAATAAAACATGTATATAATAAATAGAAATTTAATGTGTTTTCTCAAATGCCACTTTTATCTCATCTCGTGAAGTGGGGAGAGTCTAATATTTTCACTGTGACTGCGTCACTCGTGAAAATATTAGACTCTCCCCACTTCACTCGATGAGATAAAAGTGGTATTTGAGAAAACACATTAAATATCCTCTATGTAGTTGCTTCAGTGTGAAGAGGGGTAAATTCGAAAAACATTGGCATCAATCCTCGGGTTTTGTTTTGATGCCATGACATACATACACATCCAAGCGATTTACAATTATGGCTTATTATCCTCAAATCTTTTTCTGCAAATTGCAACACTCTGAGTTGCTGTTCATTCATATTACAACAAGGCATGGTTGCTTAATATGAGATGGAGTGCCAAACGAACTTTGGTTGTAGTTAGTGAGTGAGTGAGTGAGTTGGGTTTAACGCCGCTTTTAACAGTATTCCAGTTATATCGCGTCGTGTCAGCTTAATGTAGGCGGAAAGCCCGAAGTGATGCAGGTCTCAGACGTTTACCCCTTCGATGAAACACACGAGCACGAGTATGGTGCTGACAAACCTAGAAACAATCGGGACGAACCGGGATTCGAACCAAAAATCATAGGTTTCTGGCGTGCCCAAGGGACGCAACTATGCACAGCGCATCGCTGCGCCTTAGACGAGTGGGCCACCCGTGCCCCCATTTGGGTTGAAAGCGAGCCTACTACACCGGCAGCCAATCGATTTTCTTTGTTTCGTTTTTCTGTTGTTTAACGCCGTACATATTTATTATGGTGGCGAAGCGTTGTAAAAAGGTTGATGAACTGAAACATTCAACACATCGTACATTATATACTACTCAAAGTTTGCTAAGGATCATCACTTTAGAAGGTAATACGTTAAGGTAAATTGCCGAAGGCAATATTGCGTAAAGACATATTTAATGAACAAACCAAGTCCGTTGGCATATGTCACACAATGCCAATAAACAACATGTGACCAATTATCAGTCAGATCACCCGTTCACATAAAAGCATGTGATCAAAACGTAATCGTAAAAATAAATCACGGTTTCAAACAATTTCATTATACAAAACACACCTCTCAACGTGATGCAAGCACAGCCTGGCACCAATACGTGTCTGGGTGGTTGTCAAGGGAAGATTGATTCACCCTTTAGTTTGTTCATTGCCGAGCTCCAGTAGAGTTGCCGGGGCGGGGCGTCGTGAGAGGGTGTTCTGCCAGTCAGTTCCACATTTGTGGGATAGAGCGTGTGAGTGAGTGAGTGAGTGAGTTGGGTTTAAAGCCGTTTAACAGTATTCCAGTTATATCACGACGTGTCAGCTTAATATGGGAGGTAAGCCCGAAGTGATGCAGGTCTCAGACGTTTACCACTTCGTGAAACCCACGACCACGGGTATGGTGTTAACAAACCTTGCAACATAATCGGAGTGAACCCGGACTCGAATAAACAATCA